GAGCTAAAAAAGAAAGAAATTAAAATGCAAAAACATGAACTTAAGGTGGCCACCTGTCAGAGATGGAAACTCAGATTTTCCACTAAAACAAGTTAAAGAAAAGTGATGAAGACTACAACCCATCCAAGGGGGATAACCTGTGAGACCTGGAAAAACAAGGTAGTCCTGGCTAATTCTGGCTCTCACAGGGTAAATACAAAGTGTAGATTTAGCTGAGTTACAGACATAAGCCCTAGTGGCATTGTGGTTATGTGCTACCAGCCACTCCACTGGAGAAAGATGAAGCTTTCTACTCTCATACAGTCTTGGAGAAGGAATCAAGATGGAGTCCAGGTAGAATCACCCGCCTGATGCTCCTGTTGTTAGACTAGAAAATTAAGAGATAAGCATGGGAAGCAAGCCCAAGGAGAAAGCAATAGGACTGACTTCTGGAGAGACTTGAAGGGAGGAAGAGGCAGGGAAGGAAGTGGTGAGCAAACAAACCCATAGACAGGGGAACAACTAGGGAATTAAAATCAACAACAAGGAGGACGTAGATATCCTGGGAGTATTGGAGCAACAGCAATCTAGCTGAGAGGAATTACTAAGAAGCAGAAGTGCTAGGGTGATGGTGGAGCAGTGTGGGGGGAGGTCAGATGCTTGCAGGCATCCTCCCTAAGGGTGGTCAGTTACCAGAGTGATGGTGGGGCAGTGTGGAGGGAGGTCAGATGCTGGTAGACATCCTCTCTAAGGGCAATCAGTTGCCAGACTGCAGCGGCCCGCTCCCTGCTGCTGGGGACATTGGATTACTTCTCCCTAAGGCTTACGACCATTAGCTTGGTTCCTGTAGGTGGGGTTTACACCCTGCTGATAATGGTTCCTATGGAGATCCAGCTGCCATCCTGACTCTAGGATTCACCCATCTTGTCACATGTATACCCCCAATCCTTCCTCTTCCTATTGCGTGTATGTCTCAAAACCGCCCACCCCACCCCCATTGCTGTATAACCTATAGTGCAACCCCTTCCTGTGACGTATGACTTTACCTGTAATTAGTGGGCTTGCATGCCCACAAGAGGTTTATAGGCCTGGGTTAGCGATAGAGATCGTTCTCGCCCCCTCACTCTCCCTCCCTGGCCTCTCATGGGTTCCCTCTCCTCCTGTTTCCCTTTCCCTTTGTCCTCCCTTCCCTTTCCCCTCTCTCCACGTGGACCACCAAGCGGGGCTGAGGTGAGCAATGCTACCATGAAATGTGTCTGACTCCATTATTGTAATATCTCTTTTAGCTCTCATGCTCTCGATGGCTTGAATATAATACTTATATATCACAACCGTACAACTGTGCTTACTGAACCCAAGACTAGCGGTGGGGGGCTGGCCCCCCCACCTCAAACCACAGGGCAGGAGGAAGGTAAAAGGGAACAGTGGAAATATCTAGGAAGCAAAGCTATGGATAGAGGTATAAACATAGGTGTGTACATATGTAAATACATTAGTTCATAACAATATAGATATTGGCCTATGTAGATATATTTATATGGCAATACATTGAGGAAGTAGACAGCCTTTGGGCCTCTGCTCAAGCCCTTCCTCAATGCAAGAACACTTTGTTCTAACAACCTGGCATTCTGTGATGTTCACCCTCCTGACACAATCACTGAAGACAAAATGGGTACATAAGCAAATGTGGTAAAGAGAGCTGTTGGTACCCGGCTATCAAAAGATATAGCATCTGGGGTCTTAGAGGCTTGAAGTAGAACAGGCAGCTATTTAGCCAAGAAGGAACAAAGTCCACATGGAAGAAGCACACCAGTCTGTGCAATTATGAGGTGTCGACGGGATCAGGTCAACAGGCATCAGAAGACCCAAAACAATAACAACAAAATATATTGTTGAGAATGAGGGGGTCAGTTCAGAGACCCAAAACCCATCTGTAGACAATAGGACATCCCCTCACAGAAGGATCACAAGGAAGGGATGAGTCAACTAAGGCACAATATAGCACCAATGAAGCACATAATATTCCTCTGGTTCTTTGAGGCTGCCTCACCCCCCCACCCCCCGACTAACATGACCCCAGTCCTGCCTTTCA